CATAGATCGGAATCGACATTAGCCGATCAACTGCTCGAACCCGATTCCTTCCCCAGTCGGATCTGATTTGGTCGAACGCCTGTGGACGTCTATCAGCTGATCTGATTTTGTCAGACTAGAACCCGAATCAACGGTGGACGCAGTGGGTTGCGTTGGGTGCGGTGTGGTGAGTTTGATGAGGGAGTGGGCTGCTCGTGGGGTTCTCTTTCTGTCTCCTCCTTTTCTTTCCATCCGTCTTTCATTTCTTCCTTGATGGCTCTCACGCCCCCCATCCTCCACTTGTATGGTGGCGACCAATAGGCCATGTGTTTCGGTTGATAGCTCGATCACAATTATTGATCCATTATTCACAATCTTCCTCACATGGGTATTTCTTGAAGCTCTGATACTCGAGGTTTCGACCGAGGAAATACCTTACTGGTGAGCGCCTCTAGGTTTCCACCTCGACCATACTTATTACATCATAATCACTAATTTTGAACGAGTATTTTCCTCCCATCTTCGATTTTTAACGTATTTTCATAGTTTGTTTAATTGAGGTTTTAGCCCCTAAATACCGTATTATTATCTATACTATTAGACTCTTAGAGAGCAAAACGTTGCAGCTCCGGCGTTGGGCCTCTGCTAATCTTGTTGTTTTTCCCCTCTCTCTTCACTTCTCTTTCGCCAATCTTCAAATCCAGGACACAGGAGGAGAAGGAGGATCTAAGAGCGAACCAGTGGGCGCTCAACAAAATGGCTTGTGATGGATGAAACTGAGTTGCCAAACTTGAAGGCATAAAAACCCTACTGTCACTTAAAATTTACCAACCTTGCCCTAATTTTAACAGTGCAAACGCCCTCCAATGTGAACAATGTGAACGCCTTTACATGTGGCCGATGGTCCTCCATTTCAGCTAAAGAAATGCAAGCTTCTAGGTTACAAAGGTTGTGCGGTGGACATGGGGACGTGGGGAAGAGGGTTTTCTTCCTTCGAGCCACGTGTCGAAGACCCATAAAGCCTTGCGTCTTTGATTATCCATCCCTTTTCATTTCACACGCTCTAGAAACTCATAAATTTCCCACATATTAACAACAAGCAAAGTCAAACATAGTCTCCATGCGTCATCTTCATCTCTCAAATGTTTATTTTTGGATATATACATCTACTCATAAATTTGCTTCTTTTTCTTCAAGAAAGGAGAAAAACATGGGAATGGACGAGAGGTGGGGGAGGAGGCTGGGACTATGAAGAATTCGAGTGTATGTAGCCGACATTTGACCATGGAAAAACCCTACGTGGCCATAGATAGTGCCAAGCTCCTTTGATCGCGGTGCCCATGTAAGACTTCATGGCATTCTTGGGTTCCTTGGAGCACCAGCCGATGTCTTAAACAAGCGAAAAGCTCTACCCCTTCTCTCTTCCATGTATTCATTCATGGCTCGGAAGATGCCCCAGAAAATGCTCCACTTGGACGTGGGAAACATGGCGTAGGGGCCCCATGCATGCACCACCAATACGTGACGCTCAGAGCCCTCTTTAATGTGCCCCTCTTGGCCTTGTGAACTCGTTCGCACGAGCCGGAATCGTTACACCGGTTCCGGGTAGCCGAGTCCCGTGACAGCCATCAATGCGTGGCTCTCAGAAGTCCCAACCCCTTTAATGGATCCGCCTCGGCCTTGAACTCGCCCGCGCGCTCTTGGAATCGTTCCGCCGGGTCGCCGGGTTGCCTTGGCCCGTGACACCATCATATCATCATCAATGCCTGGCCTGGTGAACTGGTTCACACACATCGGGATCGTTCGACCGGGTCGACGCGTTCCCGGGTCCCGCGAGACGATCCATGCATCTTCCCAGACCGCCTCTTCAATGTCCCCGCATTGACCTTGTGAACTCGCTCGTGCAGAACTCGGAATCGTTGAACTGGGTTGACGGGTTGCCGAGCCCAATTAGATTCTCGTCCCCCGCAGACGCGGATAAAATTAAATATATGAGAAGGTGGTTTCCAGAAACGGCCTCCCCGGATAAATAATTGTGTATCTACTCCTTTTTGCATGTGATTTGCGAAGGTAACGCGTAGATGCCCAACCTCAGCACGTGTTTCCTCTACCTCCACACACGCGTGGAGGACGCATATGATGGGTGACGATGTTACCATTGATGACAACGGCACAAATCTCCTCCTTTGAGGGCGTATTTGCAACTTTTTATTTCGGATAGACCTTGTTTTTATCATCTATGCTAGAGAGAGAGAGAGAGAGACAAGGAGCCCGTGAGTCATTATTCCCCCATGGGAATATACTCCATCAATTACTTGCTTTCGATAAGTGCATATATATTATTTCTGCATGGACGGAGGGAATGAGGAAGAGAGAGAGAGAGAAAGAGAGAGATTTACATAACTTTCAATTCATTTTTTAAAAAAATAATCGTGTACCTTCTTTTGGAAACAGGGGACAGGAAATTTTACAAGTTTAGAATAAAACTTGTAAAATTACAAGATAAAGTTTAACATATATTAATTAGAAAGGTATGAATGAATTTAATTTCTCCTCATTAAAAAATGTTAATTTTAGTAGGGAAATTTTATTATTATTAAACTATAATGAGAAATAGTTTATTCCCAGGAAATATGTAATTTTGGAAAAATCTAATTTGTTTTCTATTGGATAGTATGCATGTGAATCCATTAATATCAGTTACTTTTCAATTTTTATTGAATATGTTTTAATTTTTTTTGCTTTAGTTAATACTGTTGACAATTCGTAGTTGCTTTTATTAAATGTTTTCTTAAAAAAATATTAAAAATTGCCTACCTTCAGAGAATCCATCACAATATCTACAAGATGCCTCAAGTAGAGAGAGAGAGAGAGAGATTGAAAGAGACTAGAAAATGCAATACAATCATAAATTAAGATTAAAAATTAATTCGACGAAAGCCCACTCATTTTTTTTATTTATCCGATTATTTAATGTAAAATGACTTCTAATATTTCATTAAACTTCGTTAAATGTCCAAATTGCCCCGAAGTTCCCATGTAATGGTTCTCAGAGTATGGCCACAGTACATCCTTTGAAAACCTTCTAAGAGGGGTGTTCTTTAATGGTACTCCATAGAGTCTCCCTCTTTGACTCGGAAATCTAGTGAGAGGAGTTCACGAACGTTCCGAGTGAAAACAGCGGGCGCCCTCACTCGAAAGATTTCGCCTTTTTCCCATGGGCATCATGTATCTGGTTATTTCCGTAAAATATGGCACTAATAAAGGGTATATTGGGATTTTGATATATGAACAGGAGAAGCCGTGCCGAGTCACGCATGCGAGGTGGGGATCGCCTAACAAATAGGCGATGTGATCGTCTTCTTCCCATTTTGCCCCTATATTTCCCACCTCACGCAATCTATTCTAATCGGCCCTTTTCCCGAATTATCTGGTCTCATATCCGGCGAACAAGGCTACCCAAACCATCACATCCACCGTTTTTCCGATTTTATTTACTTAAAAAAATAATTTCCTCGAATATTATCCCCTATAATTCAGGGGCATTTTGGGCAAATAAGCTGGCCTCGGCTTATCTTGGGGTGCGGGCAAATCGCCCGCCCCCCTCCGTCCAACCCTTTCGTTGGACGGATTCGATGCTTCCGAAGCAGCTCACGGCGGCCCTCTCTCTCTCTCATCTTCTAGAGAGAGAATCCGTCGCCCATCGCTGTTGGGGTCCATTCATCGACCCACGGTTTTATTCGAAGGGGGTATTTTTTCCGGTTAATTTCTTTGTTGAAAAGTAAAATATTATCGCATTCAAGGAAATAAAAGCATCCCCCCGATTTATTGCAATGATTTCGGTAAAACTGTGCGATTTGGTCAACCCGGCGAGTTGACAATTTGGGAGCAATTTTTGTTTTGGGTCGTCTCGGATTGGCATTCGCTGGGGGACAGTGGAATCCCTTCTCCTGCTTACCCAAGTTTCAGAGAAAAAAGGAGAGAGAAAGAAGGAGGTTTCAGTAGAGCGAGAGAGCAGTAATTGCCGTCGAGGTTGATCAGAGTAGGGCGAGAGAAACGATTAGTGGGGGTGGGAGTAGCTGGGATCTGGTTGGGGAAGGGGAGGGGGCTTTCTTCTCCGTCGTCGTCGGATCTTCGTGAACCGGGAAACCCTAGTTAATGGCGGGGCAGCGCCCGCGGTGGCGTTAAAGAAAAGACGCAGTCTTAGACCCTCGAACAGGGCGGCTAATCGGGAGATCTCTGCCCGGATGAGAGAGAAGCAGAACCAGTAAAAACAGAGGAGAGAGAGAGAGGAGGGGGGGAGGAATAATAATATCGAGGACAGGCCCCAGTCGAGCCAAGGGGCATCACTGCTGCCACCTCCTCCGCACCACCTTCCCTCTCCTCTGGTTTGGACCCATTCGTTCTCTTCGACCGCATCTCTCTCTTTCTCTCTCTAATCTCTCTCTTCCTGGTTATTTCTCTCCGCTCGCTTCCCTTCTTTCTCGAGGGGGGCCATCTGGGTTGCCGTAGCTGAGGGGAGGAGCGCGATGGGGATGCCCAAATAAAGCGGAGCGCGTCGGAATGGGTGGAGAGAGAAAGATATAGCGAGGGGGGGGGGGGCGAGGTGGTCGAGTGGGATAGAGAGAGAAGTTGCAGTGACAGCAATAGCAATAGAAATAAGGAAACGGAGGGCCAGTGCGATTCCGTGGGTGGAGCTCGTGAGGGGAGAGGAAGGAGAGGCCATGCTGGCGTTGCCCTAGGGTTGCCCACCCGTTCTCCTTCGTCCTTGTCCGGTGGTTCTCTCTCTACCGCTGCTTTACAGCAATCCGCCATGGCCATCCAGGCTCAATATCCCTCTCATGTCCTCTTCCTCAACAGGTACCTCTCCCCGGCCGTCCCCTGCCTCTCTTCTTCTCCCTGGTTTCCTGACGATTAGATGTTCGATCATCGCAGAAGCGAACCAGAGACGAAGAACTCCGAGTTCTCGGCCGCCGGCTTCCTTGACCAGCCGCCGCTCTTCTTCCCGTCGCAGCCTTCCAATGGAGGTAATCTCTCTCTCTCTTTCTCCCTCTCTTCCTCTCTGTGTAAATGCATCTGTATCTCAAATCTATCCTTGGGCAGGGAGCTCGAACACCAACCGGAAGAGGGGGAGGGAAGCGGCGGCGCCGGCGCCGGCGGCACCCACCGGATTGGTGTCGCCGCCTGCTCTCAACACCACCTCCACCACCCTGATAGACCTCTCCCTGCTCCACTCTCAGCAGCCGGCGCCGCCGGCCGCCTTCGTCTCCACCGGCCTCCGCCTCTCCTTCGAGGACCATCCCCGCCCCCAGCAACAGCCGGGGAATTCATTCCTCTCTTCCCTGTTGACGGAGGAACTCGCCGCCGAAATCAAGCACCAGAAGGACGAGCTCAACCAGTTCCTCCAATCCCAGGTTCGCCCTCATTTTCCCCAATCCTCCAATCCAGAAAACAGAAACCCAGATCCCCTGCTCCACGGCGCTGACCTCTGATTCTTTCCCAGTCGGAGAATTTGCGGCGGGCGCTGGCGGAGACCAGGCGCACCCACTACAGGGCCCTGCTGGGGCTGGCGGAGCAGTCGGGGGCCAGAAGGCTGCGGGAGAAGGACGCCGAGATGGAGCGCGCCGCCCGTCGCAACGCGGAGCTGGAGCAGCGGGTGGCGCGCCTGCGGGCGGAGACGGTGGCGTGGCAGACCAAGGCGCGGGCAGAGGAGGCGGCGGCGGCCGTGTTGCAGGCCCAGCTGCAGCAGGCGGCGGAGCGGCAGAACCTCGCCGGCGACCCCGGTTGCAGCGCCGCCGGGGACCTCGCCGGAGCGGAGGACGCCGAGTCGGGGTATCTGGACCCGGAGAGGAGAGAAACGGGGGGCTCCTCGAGCGCCGCGGCGGCGGCGGGAGCGGGTCGGGTGTGCCGGTCCTGCCGGAGGAGGGCGGCGGCCGTGCTGGTGCTGCCGTGCCGTCACCTCTGCCTGTGCAGAGAATGCGCCGCCGGCGCCGAGGCGTGCCCGGTCTGCCGCTGCGCGAGGACCGCCTGCCTGGAGGTCTTCCTCTCCTGAGCCGCCACCGCGGTCTCCATCTCCGCCGGCGGATGAAGAACTCGGGGAATTTCCCCGTTTTTCTCCGTCCTTTTTTATTTTCCTTTTCTTTATCTTTTTTTTTCTGGGGGAAGAGAAGGGAGTTTTGGTGGTCTTTTCTCGTGGGGGAATTCAATTGAATACCTGTATAAATTCTTTATTTTATTTTATTTTCTTCCCCACTAATTTGTTTAGCCCCCGCGATTATCCTCACTGGCGGAGGATCGTACTCTGCTCCTCGCCTCTGGCGCAAATCATACATAAATCCTTCCCACGGTGCCGTCGCCGTCGTCTTCGTTCGTCTTTTTCAAATCGGAATCAGCGGCGGATGAGACGTCTCTCCGGCGGAGCCGCCGCCCCGCCGATCGTCAGGATTCGCCGTCTCTCTGGCGTCCCGCTGTCGCGCGTCCAGGCCAGGTTAATCACTGCTCCCTCTCTCACCCTAACTCCTGACCCCAACGCCGTTTCTCCCCGCTGGTCTCGCCGCCCCTCCCTGCCAACTGCGGCGATGCGCGCAGAGTGGGGAAGGGAATCTGAGATTTGACCGTGCCTGGAGAGGGAGTTACGCCTCGGGACGGCCTCAGATCCGGCCGGAGGCTTCTCCGCCGCCTGGCCGGCGGAGCGGCCGGCGAGGAGGTTTATTTTGCTTGTTTGCTGACGACGGCGACAGGTACGCATCTACGCCATCCTTCTGACCCGCTTTGTTTTGGTTTTTGTGACAGCAAGTTCCGGCGGAGGTTGGGATCAGACGAAGGGGGTAGGGGAGGGGGCCGGCCGGTGTGTTGCGTGGTGGCGGGGGATATGCCACCACCGGGCCGCGCCGGTGGTTGCTCTGAGTGGTTAGAGGGTGGGGGGTGGCGGTGGACTGGGATGGTTTCGTTGCCGGTAGCAACAGCATCCGTCGTCGTCGGGGCGGGGTAGCGTGACGCAAGGCCCCGGGGAGGGTGGGTTTTGGCGGGAAAAGAGGGAAAGCAAAGAGCCACAGACGGCGGCAAGTGGGCCGAGCCATGCCGTCCTGTGCATCAGAAAAAGTACTATGCGAGTCTCTGGGCTCAGAAAAGTACAAGGCCCATCTTCCAATTAACATGAGATCCATATTTTTCTGCCAAAGATGCCAAATAACGGAGGTAAACTGATATGGAGAGAGAGAGAGAGAGAGAGAGAGAGAGAGAGAGAGAGAGATGGAGAGAGAGAGCTGCTGGAGAGAGAGAGAGAGATGGAGAGAGTGAGAGAGGCAAAGAGAGAAATGGAGATAGAATAACAGCTGGAGAGAAAGAGAGAGGCGTGAACCCGTCCAACCGTCCTCATTAGGTCAAGGAAGCTGATATTTTTTAAAGGGGATTCCGGACTCCAAGAAGTTGTTTGAAAGGAACGGGACCCTCATCCGCAACAATCGTCGATTTTTTGGGTGTTGAACGGCACATCCTCACAAGTCATATGCTTTGTCAATTCCTTGGACCGGCGGCCACCTCGTCCACCCGTGGTAACACGTTTTCTCCAGAAAATTCTGACAGCTCCAATTGTCCTAGACATATAGAGGTAGATTGACAGAGGGGGGGCGTGCTGGGATGAGAGAGAGACAGGGAGAGAGAGAGAGAGAGAGAGAGAGGTGCACGTGAAGTTAGATAAATTAAATTGGGTTGCTGCCCATACTATTATCTCTGGGCTAAACGATTCGACGTATGACCGTTCCCCACACAGAAAGTTAGGCTGAGCCCCAGCTTGTTGACTCGGTGACCCTTCCAGATCGCAGGGTAGGTGTCACCCCTTCTTCTTATCTTCAAGTCTAATGTGGCTGGAAGAAAATGGGCATGCTGATTCCCATCTCCGCGCGTAGAATTGCACTTGACATTGGCATCCATCGATCTTATCTAAAAACCGCACTCGAATGGAAGAAAATGGGATCGCTGCTTCACATCTTGACTCATACATATTTTGTTTGGGAACACCGCACCCAAGCCAATAGGAGCATCAGGAGACGATAAAAATTGGACATAATGAGAAAGTCAAAGGATGGAAGGAAAACCGCGAATGAAAGCAAGAAAAGCGTGAAAGCCATACTTCTAAATATTGTTGTCCATTCTCCCTGATTTCCTTAGGTAAGGGATGATACTGACGTTCCCAAATATTTTGGGACTATAACTCCCAAACGTCTCGGTCTGTTTCTTGATTTAGCTGATTAGTTCAATATCACATAATATTTTCTCTTTTATGCCTTGGAAAGAGATTTATTTATATATTTTACTGAAGCCTCTCGTTGATATTTTCTCATCATTTATATTTTCAACCAGCATTACAAATCAACCCGACCCTACTTAATCATTTCATTTGGTCACTGGGCTTCTCATTGTAAAAGCATCTCAAATAAGTTTGTTTGAGTTCGAAACCTTGTTTTACCGATATAAATTTTGGATGATAGTTTGAGTTATGCTTTAATTACCAATATTAAAGAGTAAATAGATAGATAGATAGATAGATAGATAGATAGATAGATAGATAGATAGATAGATAGATAGATAGAGAGAGAGAGAGAGAGAGAGAGAGAGAGAGAGAGAGAGAGAGAGAGAGAGAGAGAGAGAGAGAGAGAGAGAGAGAGAGCTTTTTTCAAAATCTTGTCTATTTTCTATTTTCCCACTTAGTTATGATTGACCATCTCAAATTGACTCAAAATTTAAATTGGAAACTAAAGATTTATAGTGATTCCTCACACCATGCATATTCCACTCTTTAAGGGTAACATCTTTTGATTCTAGTAACACATTAATACTATTTGAATGAACATCAAGTTACACATGTAACATTTTGATGTATTGAGATCTAGACTCAAAAGATTTGAAAGTTTATCTTGATTTATTTGCTTTTAATACTCGTGATGTTAGAATGTAGAATGTCCTCTTGAATGGGTTTCAATAGCTGTTCCAACTAGTAGTAGTAAGTTGTCAAATGGTTGATTTGTAGTATTGTAATGCTCTTGCCTGTTTTATGTTGTCTTGTAATGGTAATATCTTTTGTGCTCTAGTCTTCTCTCGATCAAGTAGAAACACAAATTTTATGAACTAATGATCAATACTTAATACTTTGTTAGGGGTTAGTGTAAGATATTATTAATGGATGAAAAATCACACTTATACCTTTGCAATCTAAATTAGTATTATTTCTTACATAGTGGTTTGGTTGCTATGAATATAAGAGCTCCTTCTATAAAGTTAGTCAACTTATGAGTTCTTATCCTTAGTAAAAGAAAGCATATGAATTTAGGAATGATTTTTATAACATATGAGCTTACAAATGATTTTCAAATGACACGAGGCTTTTGATAACATGTGATTCATACATATTAATAAGTTATTTTGGATATTAAATGATGATAAGTTCATATTAAATCACATGTTATCAGCATTAATTTAGGAAATATGAATTTTACTTTGAATGTGTGAAAACATTATGAATTACTCATTTTTTGTTTAATTATTCATGATTTTTTTAGGTCTTGTTTAGTTTGAATTTTGGAGTAAAATTCATAGAGTATATTTAGATGAATATTTCTGTTTTTTTTCTGAATTTCTGGGACTTTTGGAGCACATCTGATGAGATTTTTACAGGGTTAAACTTTGGAGTTGACTAATGGATAAAAGTGCAAAAATAAAAATAAAAGGTAAAGTTACAAAATTGTCCATCCACGGGGGCAGCAGGGCCCAGCCTAGGTGGCAGGCCCGCGTTGAGTGGCAGTCCCTAATAGGGACTCATGGACACACCACCAGACTTCCTCATTGGCAGCCCAATGGGCTGCCTCGTGAGCCAACTAGAGGATGGATTGTGGCTTGTGGGCCAATTGGACGATGGATGTGGCTTGTGGGCCAACTAGAGGATAGATCATGGATTGTGGGGTGATGAAATGCAGATGAGAAAACATAAAAATAAGGTGATTGGAAACCGCAAAGCCCATCTATAGTTTCATCTTCAAATCCTGCTTTGGAGGGTACTAAAGAGCCACCAGCCGATGCTGCCACCATCCGTGGTTGATCCCACACCGTCGTATCTTCGTTTCAGGGAGCAGAAATGCGAAAAAAGGTCTGTATTGCACAGCTTTGTTTGATCTTAGCCCCGTCATTTGATAGACAATCGGGCATTTTCTGATTTTTTGTGAGATATATCGTGCATAACTTTTAGGAACATTTATATTAGTTGAATCTGCTTTCATCCACTACATTTTTAATTATTTTTTCAAAAAGATAAATCTCATAATCCTTAGAATTGATGCTTCAAGAATTATCGACGAAACTTGATTATGTTAATTGTTCTTTGTGGGCTGACGTCATCTCATGTCAGCCGGTTTCAAAGAAAAAAACTTTAGTATTAATTCTTTTTAAAGAAAAATTCTTAAAAATTAGTACAATCATTGAGAAAATTTTAAAATTGTGCTAAAAATCAAGATTATCTGTGTTTGACTTGAAAAATCTCACTAATTTTGGAGCTAAATTATCTTTTATATTAAATAATATTTTATAAAATTAATTGGTAAACTTCAAAGGGTGTTTTCCTATTTAAAATTTAAATTTTTAAGGAAAGCCACCATTAAATTTAACTAAAACTCTAGAGATGATTTTTATGAAACATGAAATAGATTCAATGAGTTGTTGTGTAAAATGTCCACACCATGATTTTCTTAAGAGCCAATTAATAAACATTTTATAATGAATTACAACTTACATTTAGGTAGTTACAACTTACAACTTATAATGGATTACAACTTACAACTTACATTTTATTTATCGATATAGTTGATATAGTGCATGAAGTTGTTTTTGAAGATGATGGTATTGTAGAGACAAAGGAGGTAGAAGAATGCATTAGAGAAAGTATAGAAAATGATTTTGATGAAATGAAGAGATTAGTGAGAAGATTTATAAAGGAGATCAAGGGATGATTGAAATATATGAGGTAGAGAAGATTTAGAACTTGAGCCCCTCCTCAAACATTTG